CGGCGGGGGGCGCGGGGCGGGGCGGCGCCGGGGGCGCTGCGGTGTGATGGCGGCGGCCGGGCCCGGTGGGCCTGGGGGTCTGCCACAGCGGGGGCTGTCGGTCTAGGCCTCACGAGGCTCCGGGGCTGACAAGCCTCCGTGGGGCTGACAAGGCTGTGGCGGGGGTGACAGGGCTCTGGGCCTGGCGAGGCTGCAGGAGCTGACAGGGCTCCAGGGGATCTGACAGGGCTCTGGGCCTGGCGAGGCTGCAGGAGCTGACAGGGCTCCAGGGGATCTGACAGGGCTCCAGAGCTAACAGGGGTCTGACAGGGCTCCGGGGCTCTGAGAAGGCTCCAGGTGATCTGACAGAGCTCCAGTGGCTTTGACAGGGCTCTGGGAGTCTGACAGGGCTCCAGGGGATCTCCAGGGGATGTGACAGGGCTCCAGAGCTGACAAGGCTCCAGAGCTGACAGGGCTCCGGGGCTCTGACAGGGCTTTGGGGCTCTGGCAGTGCTCCAGAGCTGACCAGGCGGCAGCCCCAACCGTTCTCCACACAGGCAGAAAATCTGCCTCTTTTTCCTGACCCCTGATCAGCATCTTACTCCCCTCCCAGGTATTTCTGCACCCCCTAAATCCTCCTGCTGGCAGGTCTCAGGGCCTCCTTCCTGCCCCTCTCCACGCTGCCTTTGCTCTGGACACCCAGACCTGGGATCCCAGAGCAAGGCCAGGAATAGCCAGCAGTGAGCTTCAACCACAAGAAACAAAGGGAGGGCTGTAAGTCGGTTGTGCTGTGTTTTTGCCAGAGGGCTGTCAGGGAGGGGGGAGCAGGAATGTGAACAGGATTGATGTGGGATGCCCAGAAGGGTTTCTGGTCTCACCCACCACACTCACCAGTGTGTCGCAGGGCTGGGAACACGCTGGTAATGACAGGACAGGGCCATTCCCTCACACCCAGCTGAGCGTCCCCAGGTGTGTCAAGGAGCTCGAGGACAAGGTGTTCAGCAAACACAGGCGCTTTGCTATTTATACGTTGGCACAGTATTACTCAGAGCTGCACTGTATGCAAAGGTTTGTAGACTAATAGAGTAAATTAGCACCCAAAAATGTATAACCCAGAGGGCTGGTGAGAGAATGGGGAGTCGTGTGTGGGCAGACAAAGGCGAGGAACAAGAAAAGGTTTAACATAAAATATTGGAACCGGCTCCCCAGCAGAGAATGGCGCGTGAGGAAAACAAAGGGAACCAGGAGCCAAGGGGAAAGCTGAGGAGAGTGGTCGCGAGAGGTGGAGAGACCTTGGTTGGAAGCAAACATGGGGTGAAACACGGATGCTGGCAGAGTGGCCCAGCTCTGGGAGGGGACAGGGGGGCACAGGCTCCATGAAACACAAACCCAAGGATCCTTCCCAGCACCTGGAAGCTGTTGGGGGTGATGGGGATGCGGCAAAAGGATATTTTGGACACAGCCATGGCAGAGAGAAGGGGCAGTGCATTTGTTGAGGCAATAACTGACGTCAGTAAAGGGAGCAGGGGTGGAGCTGGGGGTTATGCTGAAGGTTCCTGTGTTTTTCACCATGGAAGAACTTCATCCTGATCCCAGGAACGCGCGGCTTTGCCAGACACAGCTGATGATCTCTGTGACACCAACCCCTGTGGGCTGAGACAATGTTCACCAGGGAAGCACCAAGTGGTTTGGACGGAGAGCAGGGACCTGGTGATCCACTGGAGCCGTTCCCAGTGAGACCATGTCAAAGTCATCTGTGGTTTCCACTTCCAGTCAAACACACACACATCAGCTTTGGAAATGTAGAACTGTTTCCAGAGGATTCAGGTCACTTTGGGGTTTTTAACAGAGCTGTAGGGGTAATGTTGTGAGCTTCTCAAAATCACTGATGAGGAATCCCACATCCACCACTCTTTCTAAAGAAAAGCAGATATTTCATGTGTAGTAACATCTTTTTTCTGCTGTTAAAGAGATACCAAATGAGAGCTCAGTGTGAAGCAAGCTCCTTGACCCAAGATTACCCAAGCCTTTCCACAGCCCGGGAGGGAAAAAGCCTGACTGCACTGTTGTTTTGCCATCTGACATGTTTTCTTTCATCATGGGCCTTCCCCTCAGGCAAAACAGAGGACAGGATCTCTCTGTCTGCAAATGAAGTCCTATGGCTGCTCCCGCGTTAGTTCTCAGCGTTGGAAAGGCATCACAAGAGGAAATCACACTTAGCACAAGGAGCTGGGATGTTGCTTTGCAATTCTTTTTGTGGTTCTGACCAGCTCCCATCAGGGAAACTGTCTCAAAGACTTGTCACAGAGTGCCCTGGGCCTCCAGAGAGTTTGAGGCTTGCTTTTGTCCTGGAAAATGTCGGAGTGAAACAAGTGCTGCTCTGGAGGCTTCGGTTTTCCAGGAGAGGGGAATAACGAGCACACTCAGCACTTTGTGAGAGCTCGGTTTGGTGGCTCATACACACTGTGCAAGGGGAGGGCTGGCTGCTTCCCAGTTCACTGCTCCACTGCAACCCAGTACTGGCCAGTGTAAGCACAGCTGGAGCCTGGCTGGGTGGGCAACGCCATCGAGTGCTTTCAACTGCTCTGAAATCCACCCTTGCCCTCACTCTGCAGACACTGCTGACAATTAACCTCATTTCAAGCCTCCAGACATCTGAAATGTTAATTAGAGCACTTAGAATGATTTGAGTCTCCTTTGCAGATACGTTAACAAAATCATCAAAGCACTAACTGTATTTTTTTCTTAACTTTTTCTTCCCCTCAGGGCACAGAGCTCTCTCTCTCTGTCGTGTTACAAGACAGCGGTTCCCTGGATTGCAGAAATGAGCTCCTGGTTCTGGTTTTACCCCAAAACATTTGCCTTGGCTACCGGCATCCTCGCCCAGCGGCGGGCACCAGCGAAGGGAGGGAATCTGCCAGCTCCTCCCTGGTGAGATGATCACTGCTGGGGGACCTAGGGAGAACGTAATCAGGTTACACACAAAGCAGGTGCTATGTTTGGCAGCAGATTTAGGGAGCAGGCAGGGCCTGTGCTAGGGAGGGCTTGAGTTTCCACTGATTTATAGCCCTCAGTAGAAATGTTTGTGTGAGCTGCAGCCCAAACACTGGGAGAATTACAAAGAGCTCGTTATCATCCGCTCGTCTCTGCCAAACAGAAAACATTTCCATTGTCACTTCTAATAGTTTCGAAACCACTGTTTCTAACCAAACTGTGGGGCCAACTTTTTCTGCCATTGAAGCAACAGCAAAGCACTGAGCTGAACCGAGCCTTGCAGCTCTCTTTCAATTTAGATCCATACTACCATTTGGCAAAAGCATATTAATTAATATTTCAGCTGAGAAGAGGAATAACGTTGCATTGTAAATACTGTGGCATTGCATCATCTAAAGGTTGTGGGATACATGAATAATTCTTTTGTTTCACTTTGGATTGCTTTGCTCTATTTCCAGCTTCAAATGAATCTTTCTGCAGCTAAACTCATTCAGAAGCAACTGTAGCTTAAATGGAAGTTCGAAACTTGTGCGTCTGTTGCAGAATGACATTTCCCCCAATACTGTTACCTTACCTTCCTTACTCAGTGTTTGCTTCTCCTCCCTTCAGGCCCAATTAAATATCTTCAGTGCACAGCAATTTCCTGCCTTGTCCCTGAAGCAACTGTAGCTTAAATGGAAGTTCGAAACTTGTGCGTCTGTTGCAGAATGACATTTCCCCCAATACTGTTACCTTACCTTCCTTACTCAGTGTTTGCTTCTCCTCCCTTCAGGCCCAATTAAATATCTTCAGTGCACAGCAATTTCCTGCCTTGTCCCTTGCAGCAAAACCCAGTGAAGGTCTGTATATGTTTAATTTAACCACAGTAAACTCACCTCTTGTATTCAAGCCGGTTGTGTTTCCAGGTCTTTCTGCAACTTGGGCACGAGGAAACGTAAACTTGTTCACCCTGAGTAGTCCTTAAGGGGGGAGAGGAACATTTTCAGTCCTGTTTCATCATTGTTTAGCAGAATTGTGACCTTTATGGATGAAGGACTTGTGTTTGCTTATCTATTGGATGTTTTTCCCTCCTCCTGCCCTTAGCCCTCTCTCCAGAATCCTGGGCTCGCAGTAAAGCTTAGTCTGGTGGAGGGGGGGGACACGACAGTCTAGATGCACACGCACAGGTTTGTGTGCTCATCAGAGTGCTGTGGTTTCTTGCTATAGGTCCTGGGAGGACAAGGCAGGACAGACAGAACGGAGGTTCTTCAGAGGAAGCTTAAAATAGATGAGTTGGCTCCGAGTCGAAGCTGGTTTCTGAACCTGGTGAGGAAATGACTCAGTTCCGCACCACAAGGTGAGTGAGCGTGTAAAACCAGCACCTACCCATGTAAGGGTGAGACTGCACAGGATAATCTCACTCGTAGCCTCCTAGGGGCACTCAGAGACTTCTTCAGACACCTGCAAGCATGAGCCCAAAGCATTTCAGATATTGCCTTTCCCCTCTTTCCTTCCCTCTGTTCTGAAAAAGGAAAGAAAATCAAAGAGGTGGAGTGGGACACACAGGCCACTTTGAACAAGTCTTGCTGGAGTGAAATGCTTTTCAAAGCCTTTCTGAGGATGCATCACCTGGAGCTTATTCTTCTGTTCCCCTCAGCTGGGAAGGAGAAGCCGAGTCAATGATCGCAGGAAACAAGACAAGAAGGTCCCATAAAACAGACCCAACAGGAAGCCTCCTCCTTGGCAGAGGAGGGAAACTCAGGTAAATGCTTTTCAAAGCCTTTCTTAGGAGGCATCACCTGGACCTTATTCTTTTTTTCTCCTCAGCTGGGAAGGAGAAGCTGAGTCAACAATTGCAGGAAACAAGACAAGAAGGTCCATAAAACAGACCCAACGGGAAGCCTCCTCCTTGGCAGAGGAGGGAAACTCAGGAGGCTGGAGCAGGGAGCACACATCAGTGATGCACGGAGGAGGCTGAGAGTGGTGGGGAGGTGACCAGCATCCCTCTTGCCACGGGCTGGGGTCGGAGCCAGTTGCCCTGTGGCAAGTGCAGGCCAGGCTTCATTGAGGATGGGATTGATCCAGGAGAATGGTCTCCTCAACGAACGTCCTGCTCAGCTCTTTGGGACGTGTATAAACTTGCCCCATCCCTTCACAATACAGAGAAACACACACAGCACGGGTTAGGATGTTGGCTTTTTTTTTTTTTATTTTTTATCTTTTTTTGTACAGGTAATACCATCGGTGAGGATGCTGGCGGGGCAGAGTGGCTGTAAACGCTCTCCAGCTGAGATCTCGAGAATGGAAAGAACGATACTAGATAAGCTTCACTGGGATCTTTACACAGCAACACCCATGGGTTTCTTAAACATCGTAAGCACTAAGTTTTGCTAAATTTTTTTTGTTTTCTTTAAAGAAACAGCTCATTATCAAATAAGCCTAGAAAACACAGATGCGCACACATACACACACCCACACATCCTTCCCAAGATGCTTTGCAAACTACCTGTTCTCAGCTATCTGCAAGTCTTTTGAAGAATGTTTATTTTTTTTAAATTATTTTTAAAATTTTCTAGTATTTAAAACCTTTCATTTTGCTCAAAAAATTTACTTTCATCTTTAAAGGACAACTAAAATGGACGTTAAAAAGATTCTCATGATGCACAACTATACGCCATTTTTATTTTTTTTTTTTAAATACACACTGCAAAAATATTTCTAGTAGGATGTTGGCTTTTTTTTTTATTATTTTTGATTTTTTTTTGTACAGGTAATACCATCGGTGAGGATTTTTTATCTTTTTTTGTACAGGTAATACCATCGGTGAGGATGCTGGCGGGGCAGAGTGGCTGTAAACGCTCTCCAGCTGAGATCTCGAGAATGGAAAGAACGATACTAGATAAGCTTCACTGGGATCTTTACACAGCAACACCCATGGGTTTCTTAAACATCGTAAGCACTAAGTTTTGCTAAATTTTTTTTGTTTTCTTTAAAGAAACAGCTCATTATCAAATAAGCCTAGAAAACACAGATGCGCACACATACACACACCCACACATCCTTCCCAAGATGCTTTGCAAACTACCTGTTCTCAGCTATCTGCAAGTCTTTTGAAGAATGTTTATTTTTTTTAAATTATTTTTAAAATTTTCTAGTATTTAAAACCTTTCATTTTGCTCAAAAAATTTACTTTCATCTTTAAAGGACAACTAAAATGGACGTTAAAAAGATTCTCATGATGCACAACTATACGCCATTTTTATTTTTTTTTTTTAAATACACACTGCAAAAATATTTCTAACTATTTCCATTCTAGTAATACTGTACAGAGAAAGCTGTCAGAGTTTTGCTACATTTCTCACACAGGTTTTCTCTTCAACCATTTCCCTTTTCACCCCACTAATTATTCACCCTTCTTTCAGGCAATGACACTACCCTGATCTGGCACTTGGTTCCCATCGCAGTTGGGGAACGTTTGATAAAAACGATTAAACTTTCTCTTCAAGAAACGATTGTGTGCTAGTAAGGCAAAAATCATGTGATACGAACACATCCTGGATCCCTTTTTTTTTTTTTTTAAAGTTATGTGCAAATATTGAGCCGTCTGAGGCTGCTGATTGTGAAAGCTGCATCTCTCAGGTGCTTGTTTCCTCAGGGAATTCCGAGTTCAGGCGCCAGTTACTGCTCTGACTCTCTCCACAGCCTCTGGCCTGAACTGAATCTCCCGGATAACAATCTGGGCAACGTAGAAACTTCAGAAATTGTTAGGAAACACACACCTTGTACATTCATTATAAGCTCAAAAAACCCCCAGTTCCGTGGTTGGGAAGTACAAACACAAAACACAAAAAAAAAAAAAAAAAAAAAAAAAAAAAAAAAAAAAAAAGAAAAAAGAGAAGGGGAGGGAGAACCCTTTAGGTTTCCTGATACGAGATGAAATAAGTCTGTATTTCTGGTTGATAACATAGGAAAACATACAAAGTTCACTGACCTCTGCTTTTTTGTTTGTTTTTTAATATATATATATTTTATCTTCTCCCCAGTTCCATGCCACGGTGATGTCCAACGGGCCCCATCTACTCCCTGGGCTGCCTCAGAGGAATCCTTCCCGCCACGGCGCGCTCTTGACCAAACAGCTACAGCACTGGATGGCCTGCCACCAGCTCGTGCAGCTCAAGGGCTCCACACTGGTTTTGGTGATCATCACCTTGGAGCTGGAGAGGCTGACTCCTGACTGGTTTCCTGCTAGTACTGATCTGCTAAAAAAAGGAAGAAAAAAAAAAAAAAGCACAGGTAGGGATCAAAACGGCCTTTGGTCACAAACCTTCAGGCCAGGACACCCATGAATTAATAAAGGGCACGTGTATTTCCAGCCAACGTTGCACTTTAGCAGCTGCCTGAGAACCAGAGAATGGTTTGGGTTGGAAGAGACCTTAAAGATCATTCAGTTCCAACCCCCCTGTGTGTGCCCACGTTCTGCCTTTGCTGCAGACTTTGCTGGTGCTAAAAAAAGGGAATAAAACCACAGTTAAGGGCCTTGCCTTTGGCACTCTTGCTACACACAAGTTAGTGGCGAGGACGTGCCAGGTTCAGCTGGCACAGATCGGACGTGTTTAGGGCTAATTTTGTGAGGATTCTTGTTTTGGGTAAGATTCAATCCCTGAAGAACTCCAGAGAACCTTTACAGAGCATTTCAGAGAGCTCTTATGGTGCCCCAGCCTCTCTAACCCAGACTCTGAGGCACATCTCCCTAACCCAGATTCCCTCTGCTGCTGCCTTACTTTGGGCCAGATCGATTTCCAGATGCCCAAAGTCAATACCACCTTGTCATCAAAGCTACAATCCCATCTGAAATCCCCTTTGGGAAGTGCCCAGGGGATTGGTTTGTCCTTGGAGAGGTTTCCTGGCAGACACTGCTGCTGCTCGGGGACGCTCAGGTGCTGAATCAGAACATAAACCAAACATTAAATCATCCTCAGAGACAGCGAAGCAATTCGGAGTCATCTCCAGTGGCCACTGTGTCCCCCATTCATAAACCACCACCCAGAGGAAAGGTGTCAGGGCTAAACGAGGGGGAACTGTTTAGGATGAGGATGACGCTGCCTTGCGGGACCGAGCCTGACTCAGCAGCGCTGGGGGGACCCGGGAGGAGAGTTCATTTATGCAGTGCTGCCTCGCGGGACCAAGCCTGACTCAGCAGCGCTGGGGACCCGGGAGGAGAGTTCATTTATGCAGAGGCACAAATAAAGAAACTTCTGTGGTCGGAGAATTGATCAAGACAGAAGAAAAGAGAAGAGGGAGAGGGTAACTCTCAATAGTTGTTTTACCGTATTACGGGTTTCTGAGGAAATCTGTTGATAAGGCAGAGAAGGAATTCACAGCGACCGGCCCCTGGAGCAGCCAGCAGCCCCCTGGGACATCACCAGTACCAAGGGCTTTCAGACACCTGTGAAGCCTCTATCTCTCATTTGTGGGGTCGCCTTTATGCGGTCGGTTGGTTTTTTCCTCATTGGCTTTAGTGTTTCATACTCGATCTGCAGAGTACTTACAGCTCGATTCTTTAGGGATGCAGAAAAGGGCACTTGGCTGGAGCGAAGCCTGAGCTCCCACCCCTTCTCAGCAGCTCCCCCTCAGCAAGTCGGGCACCTTGAATCCCTTCGGTGACCACACCATGGTCACAGCAAACAAGTTATCAAATCTTCTGAGCAATTTGGGGGAGGAAAAAAGCTCTTTTATTCCCAATTCACCTGCCCAGCTGGGAATTTAACTTGAGAATAGCTCCAAACTGGATTTGAGCTCCGCCAAAGGAATTTGCCTCAAGAGAGAACACAGGGAATTTCAAACGGTCCTGAAAGCAGCAGCAAAGGCTGTTTCATTGCTCTGCTCAGCTGGATGGTCACCCTCTGCTCCTGCTTGGTGCGGGCACAACAGACACGGAGACAGAGCCATCAGAGGGGGATTCCAGCGAGAAGACATCCTGCTGCTCCTCCTTCAGTCCCACAGCCACTGTGGGACAGGCAGGGACAAGCCATGGGGCAAGAACACACTTGTCACAGGGCTTAGTGCCTCCTCCCCAGCAAGGCAGGAGTCTCCAGAAGTTCCCCGTGTGCCCAGTTTGGTTATTTTCAGCCCACGTACCTGTTACTCCACGAGATTTATTTCCAAGTCCTAATTTTGCAGAGGGTTCAGTGACTGTCACGTACAACCCACCCTGGGGACAGGAGCTCAGCCGGTGCCTCTGCACCATCCTCTGGGTCTCAATGACCTCCTGGGGGGTGATGGAGACCCACGCTGCTCAGCAGGAACCCCCTGGGCTCCTGTCACCCACCTGGTCCCACTCTGGTCACCCCCTACAAGGTGGGGGTGCAGGGTATGAGCTTCTCCAAACCTCCACCCAAGGGTGGCTCTTCTGCTGGCCCAACACCCCCAGCCCCGTGGCCAGGCACCCGGGGAAAGTGGCAGCTGGGAGAAGGGGAGAAGACAGACAGGGACATGCAGGGGACATCACACTTGAAACACAGATACACAGGGCAGGGGGGTTAACAGAGAAAAACGGGAATAAGAGAGAGGGTTGGGAATTGGGAGCCAGCACTGTGTGGTCCCGGGGAATACAAGCAGTGCACAAACCGCGGGGTGAGCAGATGTTTGTTAAACAAGTCAGTTTTGTTTTTATTAACCCCAGCTTTGGTACAAGCAGGTCATTCCTGAGATTTCATTTACAAGGTTGTTTTAAAACAAAGATCAACCGGGGCCCCTCCCTCTTCCTGAGTGAACTCAGACTGGGGCACAGACACCACGCTTTGCTTTTTTTTCCCCCCCTTTTCATTTTTTAAACAAGTATTTGTGTAAGGGGATGTCAGTCTGTTCCAAACACAGAATTCACGACCAGGAGTTAAAGCCAAGTCCCCAGCTTTAAACTGTTTCCCCTCCGTTTTACCATATAACATTTAGTTGTCCTTTGAAAGGGTTCCCTTCACCCCACCACGTCCCAGTCAGAGGTGCCGCAGCAGGGACTGCCCCAGGCAGCGAGCGGGGGGGTGGGCAGGGGGGGGTGGG